TGGTGAAAAATTCGATATTCTGAAGTCGCCCAAACAATAAAATGCAAAATGGCTCCATAGCGCCCCCTAAGGTGAAAATTCACACTATTGACTGTCACGCCTGTACGCTTTGTCATATTGACACAAAAATTGACACACATATGTATCTCAATAAGATCTACAAAAAAGTCAGTGCGGCCGTATCTGTCAAAATTACTGTTAAAGGGTTATTTCGCATTTTTTGCCGATCCTCACACATTGGAATTTCGCTAACTCCTCCGAAGGCTTTCGTTCCACCGGCACCACATTTGCTCAGGCCAATCTACACCCCGTGGCCATTAAAAGTTATCAAAATCATGACGCTGCACCCCACGGTTTAGGTTCTAGGGGGCGCCAAAGATAACCCTAAAATCCACATATTTAAAAGTCTTATAACTTTTTATTTTTGTCCTCACTGGCCTCCAAGTTTTCTAGGATGATGCAATGTCCAGCCATCAACACATTTGTGAAGGAATTTTTACTCCCCAAAAGAGCGCCCCCCCATGGCAGGAGAAAAAAGTCCATTTTTTCTTGTCCCCTAAGGTGAAAATACACATTGTTGAGTGTCACGCCTATACGCTTTGTCAAAATGACACAAAAATTGACACACACATGTAACTCAATAAGATCTACAAAAAAGTCCACGCGCGCGTATCTGTCAAATGTACAGTTAAAGGGTTATTCCGCATTTTTTGCCGATACGCACACATTGGAATGTGGCTAACTCCTCCGAAGGCTTTCGTTCCACCGGCACCACATTTGCTCAGGCCAATCTACACCCCATGGCCATTAAAAGTTATTCAAATCATGATGCTGCACCCCATGGTTTAGGTTCTAGGGGGCGCCAAAAATAACCCAAAAATCCACATTCTTAAATGTTTTATAACTTTTTATTTTTGTCCTCACTGGCGTCCAAGTTTTCTAGGATGATGCAATGTCCAGCCATCAACACATTTGTGAAGGAATTTTTACTCCCCAAAAGAGCGCCCCCCCATGGTAGGAGAAAAAAGTCAATTTTTTCTTGTCCCCTTACATAAAAATACACATTGTTGAGTGTCACGCCTGAACGCTTTGTCATATTGACACAAAAATTGACAATCATGTGTATCTCAATTAGATCTACGAAAAAGTCAAAGAGCGCGTATCTGTATAATGTACGGTTAAAGGGCTATTTTGCATTTTTTGCCGATTCGCACACATTGGAATGTGGCTATCTCCTCCTAAGGCTTTCGTCCCACCGATACCAAATTTGCTCAGGGCAATCTACACCCCATGCCCATTCAAAGTTGTAAAAATCATGACGCTGCACCCCACGGTTTACGTTCTAGGGGGCGCCAAAGATGACCCAAAAATCCACATTCTTAAAAGTCATTTTGGCCACTGCAGGAGTACAGAGTACTGCAGTTCTAGGGGGCGCCAAAGATGACCCAAAAATCCACATTCTTAAAAGTCTTTTTGGCCACTGCAGGAGTACAGAGTACTGCAGGATACACACACATATACACACACGCCAACATACACACACACACACACACACACACACACACACACACACACACACACACACACTCAGAGTCTGTTTTTTAGCACCTGCAAAAACATGCTGTTTACATATTTGACAAGAATGCAGAGGCTTCCTTTTGCCCCTGAAAAAAATCAGATTTCAAACACAACTTGACTGTTCATTTCTCCAAAAGACAACCATGAAGCTCCATCCAAACCTGAAGCAGATAGTTGGTGCATGTGTACAGTAACCTGAGGGGAGTGAGGTGACTATTTCTGAGGAGAACATGAGCAGTGAAGATTCACCTTGGAGCTAGAACAGGGACGTGCACATGATTATACAGGGGCAGGGGCTCAAGTTTTTTCTAGTCATTTATACAATATGGAAATTAATGTGAAATTAAACCACAAATATGTGTGATGAACTGTTTTTAAAACTTAAACTTCAAATAAAAATTGTAAACTTCAAAACATATGCAAATTTTTAACAAAGAACATAGTAATTTACCTCTATTTACATCAAAATGCAGGCAATGGCCCAGGCGTTCTTTGTAAAATTATTTACAAAACACTGTATAGTCTCACAAATGTCACTTTTTATTTATGCCACTACAAAAAAACATGATGTAAATGATGCATGATGTAAAACATGATGTAAAAAACTTGTGTAGATCCTCCTCTATGTCAGTCCATGTTTAATTTTTCCATAATTCTTTGTTTTTTGCAGCATTTTTGTTAGTGTAACTGCAGATTGTGCTGACAGTGTCTATGGCACAAAAAAAAAAAAAATTAAAATGCCTCAACATGAACCCCTGGTGGTCTCTGAGGGTGAAACCTGCTAACTGCTGCAGCTCTGTCAGCTTCAGTCTCCCATGCAGAGCTCTGAGCGCATGTGTGGCTCTGCACCCTTAGCAGCGTTGCTAACTCCTCAGTAAGGAAAGCCTGCTTCATGTCAGAGTCTCTAAACTCCAGAAGAAGTCGATAAAAGTCCCTTTCTTTCTAAAAAAAAGTCGTTAGGGTGTCTGAAAAGTCATTGAATCTAACAACAAAGTCGCTAGGTTTGCAACTACGTGTCCCAGACTGCATCCCTGCTGAGAGTCCCTCCCTCCCTTCTCATGTTGCAGGAAGAACGTAAGCGCCCGCCCCTTGTCAATCAGTCACCATATAATTTTGGATTGGTTGTTGTGGTGAAGTTTTACACCAATAGGAGAGATGTTGTGGTGTGTTTTTTTTTTCTTTTGGCAAGCCTTTTCCGCCTGTAAGACCTGTCGCTAATGTCTGCATGCTATGTTTTCCTGTCTCATACAGCGCGATCGAGCGCCGAACGTGATCAAAATAAGCAGAAAACAAGTATCGCGGACATAATTTATCATAACTCTGGTTTTATTTGGCCTATCAACACAATTTAAAAACTGGTATATAGGTTGAGGTCCTCACTTTTGAGATAAGTTGAAACGGAGAGTCAACGAGGCTCCGTCTTGCAGCTACATCCGGTTAAATATGTCATGTGACTTGAACGCACACATAGACACACACACACGCACACACACACACACACACACACACACACACACACACACACTCAGAGTCTGGTTTTTAGCACCTGCAAAAACATGCTATTTACATATTTGACAAGAATGCAGATGCTCCTTTTGCCCCTGAAAAAAATCAAATTTCAAACACAACTTGACTGGTCATTTCTCCAAAAGACAACCATGAAGCTCCATCCAAACCTGAAGCAGGCAGTTGGTGCATGTGTACAGTAACCTGAGGGGAGTGAGGTGAGTGCTTCTGAGGAGAACATGAGCAGTGAAGATTCACCTTGGAGCTAGAACAGAGACATGCACATGATTATACAGGGGCAGGGGCTCAAGTTTTTTCCAGTCGTTTATACAATATGGAAATTAATGTGAAATTAAAAAACAAAGTATTAATAGAAAGGTAATGACTGTCCTGTGTAGGTGACAGTGATATCCAATAGGCTAGGCACTCACGAGGCTGGCTGTGGCAAGTGTAAGTGAAAGCAACACGCACTGGCAGGAAGAACAGCAAACGCCGATGAAGGAAAAGGGTCTTTGCAGTGATGGGCGTTAACAGAGAGGGCGATGGCCAGAGGACACAAATGGGACGGGGAGGCAGCACGTTGGGGGGGGGGAGACGCGACACGGCTCGGGCCCGCCAGTGCCCCAACGGGGTCCTAGTCTTTGTTTCTTTCTTTCTTTAGGGCCCGAGCGTAGCTGCTAAGCAGCTGCGAGAGCCCTCTTGTTCCTGATGGATTCTTCTTTTGTTATTATTATTAGGGCCCGAGCCAGCTGCAGAGCAGCCGGGCGTAGGCCCTATTATTCCCCAAGTGGTTTTTCTTTGTTTCTTTCTTTCTTTTTTCTTTTTCCTCCCCTTTGAACTGGAAAATGGCCCACTTCCCACTGGCGAAAACTCATGAAATTTGGCAGGACGACCGGGCCTGGTGAAAAATTCGATATTCTGAAGTCGCCCAAACAATAAAATGCAAAATGGCTCCATAGCGCCCCCTAAGGTGGAAATTCACACTATTGACTGTCACGCCTGTACGCTTTGTCATATTGACACAAAAATTGACACACATATGTATCTCAATAAGATCTACAAAAAAGTCAGTGCGGCCGTATCTGTCAAAATTACGGTTAAAGGGTTATTTCGCATTTTTTGCCGATCTGCACACATTGGAATTTCGCTAACTCCTCCGAAGGCTTTCGTTCCACCGGCACCACATTTGCTCAGGCCAATCTACACCCCGTGGCCATTAAAAGTTATCAAAATCATGACGCTGCACCCCACGGTTTAGGTTCTAGGGGGCGCCAAAGATAACACTAAAATCCACATATTTAAAAGTCTTATAACTTTTTATTTTTGTCCTCACTGGCCTCCAAGTTTTCTAGGATGATGCAATGTCCAGCCATCAACACATTTGTGAAGGAATTTTTACTCCCCAAAAGAGCGCCCCCCCCATGGCAGGAGAAAAAAGTCCATTTTTTCTTGTCCCCTAAGGTGAAAATACACATTGTTGAGTGTCACGCCTATACGCTTTGTCAAAATGACACAAAAATTGACACACACATGTAACTCAATAAGATCTACGAAAAAGTCTATGCGCGCGTATCTGTAAAATGTACGGTTAAAGGGCTATTTTGCATTTTTTGCCGATTCGCACACATTGGAATGTGGCTAACTCCTCCTAAGGCTTTCGTCCCACTGACACCAAATTTGCTCAGGCCAATCTACACCCCATGGCCATTCAAAGTTGTAAAAATCATGACGCTGCACCCCACGGTTTACGTTCTAGGGGGCGCCAAAGATGACCCAAATATCCACATTCTTAAAAGAATCCACATCCCCCCCCATCCCCCATCCCCCATGGCAGGAGAAACAGTCAAGTTTTTCCTGCCCATCACTCAATGGCTCATTCGCATCACTCTCCCGGCAACACCGTAACGAGGAGCAACTTGCCGTTTGGATATATCCTAGCTGTGTTTGTGCCCTCACTCATGGTCCAGACTTTTTTCAAATAGGACATGTAGTTTGTCTGCAGCGAGTGTTTTGGTAGAAACTGCGCCTCCCATTCATTATAATGGGAAATGACCACAGACAAGTGCGCACACCATCTTTGGACCTTGAGTGTGACGCGATCGGGAGGGGTAGGCGGTCGCGCTGGGGGCGGCGCAACGCGGCTCGGGCCCGACAGTGCCCCACCGGGGTCCTAGTTATTATTTTTCCTCCGCTTTAAACTGGAAAATGGCCCACTTCCCACTGGCGAAAACTCATGAAATTTGGCAGGACGACCGGGCCTGGTGAAAAATTCGATATTCTGAAGTCACCCAAACAATAAAATGCAAAATGGCTCCATAGCGCCCCCTAAGGTGAAAATTCACACTATTGACTGTCACGCCTGTACGCTTTGTCATATTGACACAAAAATTGACACACACATGTATGTCAATAAGATCTACAAAAAATTCAGTGCGGGCGTATCTGTCAAATGTACGGTTAAAGGGTTATTTCGCATTTTTTGCCGATCCGCACACATTGGAATTTCGCTAACTCCTCCGAAGGCTTTCGTTCCACCGGCACCACATTTGCTCAGGCCAATCTACACTCCATGGCCATTCAAAGTTGTACAAATCATGATGCTGCACCCCATGGTTTAGGTTCTAGGGGGCGCCAAAAATAACCCAAAAATCCACATTCTTAAAAGTTTTATAACTTTTTATTTTTGTCCTCACTGGCCTCCAAGTTTTCTAGGATGATGCAATGTCCAGCCATCAACACATTTGTGAAGGAATTTTTACTCCCCAAAAGAGCGCCCCCCCATGGCAGGACAAAAAAGTCAATTTTTTCTTGTCCCCTAAGGTGAAAATACACATTGTTGAGATTCACGCCTGTACGCTTTGTCATATTGACAAAAAATTTGACACACACGTGTATCTCAATAAGATCTACGAAAAAGTCAATGCGCGCGTATCTGTAAAATGTGAGGCTAAACGGCTATTTTGCATTTTCTGCCGATTCGCACACATTGGAATGTGGCTAACTCCTCCTAAGGCTTTCGTCCCACTGACACCAAATTTGCTCAGGCCAATCTACACCCCATGGCCATTCAAAGTTGTAAAAATCATGCCGCTGCACCCCATGGTTTACGTTCTAGGGGGCGCCAAAGATGACCCAAATATCCACATTCTTAAAAGTCGTTTTGGCCACTGCAGGAGTACAGAGTACTGCAGGATACACACACACAGACACACACACACACAGACACACACACACACTCACACACACACACACACACACACACACACACACACACACACACACATACACACTCAGAGTCTGTTTTTCAGCACCTGCAAAAACATGCTATTTACATATTTGACAACAATGCAGAGACTTCCTTTTGCCCCTGAAAAAAATGAAATTTCAAACACAACTTGACTGCTCATTTCTCCAAAAGACAACCATGAAGCTCCATCCAAACCTGAAGCAGGCAGTTGGTGCATGTGTACAGTAACCTGAGGGGAGTGAGGTGACTGCTTCTGAGGAGAACATGAGCAGTCAAGATTCACCTTGGAGCTAGAACAGGGACGTGCACATGATTATACAGGGGCAGGGGCTCAAGTTTTTTCCAGTCGTTTAGACAATATGGAAATTAATGTGAAATTAAAAAACAAAGTATTAATAGAAAGGTAATGACTGTCCTGTGTAGGTGACAGTGATATCCAATAGGCTAGGCACTCACGAGGCTGGCTGTGGCAAGTGCAAGTGAAAGCCACACGCACTGGCAGGAAGAACAGCAAACGCCGATGAAGGAAAAGGGTTTTTGCAGTGATGGGCGTTACCAGAGAGGACGATGGCCAGAGGACGCGAATGGGACGGGGAGGCAGCGCGTTGGGGGGGGGGGGGGGGGGGCGCGACACAGCTCGGGCCCGCCAGTGCCCCAACGGGGTCCTAGTTATTAGGGCCCGAGCCAGCTGCAGAGCAGCCGGGCGTAGAGCCCTATTATTCCTGTATAGGTTTTTCTTTCTTCTTTCTTTCTTTCTTTCTTCTTATTTTTCCTCCCCTTTGAAGGGGAAAATGGCCCACTTCCCACTGGCGAAAACTCATGAAATTTGGCAGGACGACCGGGCCTGGTGAAAAATTCGATATTCTGAAGTCGCCCAAACAATAAAATGCAAAATGGCTCCAAAGCGCCCCCTAAGGTGAAAATTCACACTATTGACTGTCACGCCTTTACGCTTTGTCATATTGACACAAAAATTGACACACACATGTATCTCAATAAGATCTACAAAAAAGTCAGTGCGGGCGTATCTGTCAAATGTACGGTTAAAGGGTTATTTCGCATTTTTTGCCGATCCGCACACATTGGAATTTCGCTAACTCCTCCGAAGGCTTTCGTTCCAACGGCACCACATTTGCTCAGGCCAATCTACACCCCGTGGCCATTAAAAGTTATCAAAATCATGACGCTGCACGCCACGGTTTACGTTCTAGGGGGCGCCAAAGATAACCCTAAAATCCACATATTTAAAAGTCTTATAACTTTTTATTTTTGTCCTCACTGGCCTCCAAGTTTTCTAGGATGATGCAATGTCCAGCCATCAACACATTTGTGAAGGAATTTTTACTCCCCAAAAGAGCGCCCCCCCATGGCAGGAGAAAAAAGTCCATTTTTTCTTGTCCCCTAAGGTGAAAATACACATTGTTGAGTGTCACGCCTATACGCTTTGTCAAAATGACACAAAAATTGACACACACATGTAACTCAATAAGATCTACGAAAAAGTCAATGCGCGCGTATCTGTCAAATGTACGGTTAAAGGGTTATTCCGCATTTTTTGCCGATCCGCACACATTGGAATGTGGCTAACTCCTCCTAAGGCTTTCGTTCCACCGGCACCACATTTGCTCAGGACAATCTACACCCCATGGCCATTAAAAGTTATTCAAATCATGACGCTGCACCCCACGGTTTAGGTTCTAGGGGGCGCCAAAGATAACCCTAAAATCCATATATTTAAAAGTCTTATAACTTTTTATTTTTGTCCTCACTGGCCTCCAAGTTTTCTAGGATGATGCAATGTCCAGCCATCAACACATTTGTGAAGGAATTTTTACTCCCCAAAAGAGCGCCCCCCCATGGCAGGAGAAAAAAGTCCATTTTTTCTTGTCCCCTAAGGTGAAAATACATATTGTTGAGATTCACGCCTATACGCTTTGTCATATTGACACAAAATTTGACAATCACGTGCCTTGCCTGGTATCACTTTTTTCAGCACAACCTCACCTGTGCGAATTTACAGTTATTTTTTCATGTTGACATACTGAATTTACACAATGGACCCAAATTCACACACAAAACATAAAATCCGAGTGGAAAAAAGTAAAATTTTTACTGTGAAAATCACAAATATGTGTGATGAACTGTTTTTAAAACTTAAACTTCAAATAAAAATTGTAAACTTCAAAACATATGCAAATTTTTAACAAAGAACATAGTGATTTACCTCTATTTACATCAAAATGCAGGCAATGGCCCAGGCGTTCTTTGTAAAATTATTTACAAAACACTGTATAGTCTCACAAATGTCACTTTTTATTTATGCCACTACAAAAAAACATGATGTAAATGATGCATGATGTAAAACATGATGTAAAAAACTTGTGTAGATCCTCCTCTATGTCAGTCCATGTGTAATTTTTCCATAATTCTTTGTTTTTTGCAGCATTTTTGTTAGTGTAACAGCAGATTGTGCTGACAGTGTCTATGGCACAAAAAAAAAAAAAAAATTTAAATGCCTCAACATGAACCCCTGGTGGTCTCTGAGGGTGAAACCTGCTAACTGCTGCAGCTCTGTCAGCTTCAGTCTCCCATGCAGAGCTCTGAGCGCATGTGTGGCTCTGCACCCTTAGCAGCGTTGCTAACTCCTCAGTAAGGAAAGCCTGCTTCATGTCAGAGTCTCTAAACTCCAGAAGAAGTCGATAAAAGTCCCTTTCTTTCTAAAAAAAAAGTCGTTAGGGGGTCTGAAAAGTCATTGAATCTAACAACAAAGTCGCTAGGTTTGCAACTACGTGTCCCAGACTGCATCCCTGCTGAGAGTCCCTCCCTCGCTTCTCATGTTGCAGGAAGAACGTAAGCGCCCGCCCCTTGTCAATCAGTCACCATATAATTTTGGATTGGTTGTTGTGGTGAAGTTTTCCACCAATAGGAGAGATGTTGTGGTGTGTTTTTTTTTTCTTTTGGCAAGCCTTTTCCGCCTGTAAGACCTGTCGCTAATGTCTGCATGCTATGTTTTCCTGTCTCATACAACGCGATCGAGCGCCGAACGTGATCAAAATAAGCAGAAAAAAAGTATCGCGGACATAATTTATCATAACTCTGGTTTTATTTGGCCTATCAACACAATTTAAAAACTGGTATATAGGTTGAGGTCCTCACTTTTGAGATAAGTTTAAACGGAGAGTTAACGAGGCTCCGTCTTGCAGCTACATCCGGTTAAATATGTCATGTGACTTGAACGCACACACAGACACACACACACGCACACACACACACACACTCAGAGTCTGGTTTTTAGCACCTGCAAAAACATGCTATTTACATATTTGACAAGAATGCAGAGGCTCCTTTTGCCCCTGAAAAAAATCAAATTTCAAACACAACTTGACTGGTCATTTCTCCAAAAGACAACCATGAAGCTCCATCCAAACCTGAAGCAGGCAGTTGGTGCATGTGTACAGTAACCTGAGGGGAGTGAGGTGAGTGCTTCTGAGGAGAACATGAGCAGTGAAGATTCACCTTGGAGCTAGAACAGAGACATGCACATGATTATACAGGGGCAGGGGCTCAAGTTTTTTCCAGTCGTTTATACAATATGGAAATTAATGTGAAATTAAAACACAAAGTATCAATAGAAAGGTAATGACTGTCCTGTGTAGGTGACAGTGATATCCAATAGGCGAAGCACTCACGAGGCTGGCTGTGGCAAGTGTAAGTGAAAGCAACACGCACTGGCAGGAAGAACAGCAAACGCCAATGAAGGAAAAGGGTCTTTGCAGTGATGGGCGTTACCAGAGAGGGCGATGGCCAGAGGACACAAATGGGACGGGGAGGCAGCACGTTGGGGGGGGGACGCGACACGGCTCGGGCCCGCCAGTGCCCCAACGGGGTCCTAGTTAGGGCCCGAGCCAGCTGCAGAGCAGCCGGGCGTAGGCCCTATTATTCCCCAAGTGGTTTTTCTTTGTTTCTTTCTTTCTTTCTTTCTTTCTTCTTTTTCCTCCCCTTTGAACTGGAAAATGGCCCACTTCCCACTGGCGAAAACTCATGAAATTTGGCAGGACGACCGGGCCTGGTGAAAAATTTGATATTCTGAAGTCGCCCAAACAATAAAATGCAAAATGGCTCCATAGCGCCCCCTAAGGTGAAAATTCACACTATTGACTGTCACGCCTGTACGCTTTGTCATATTGACACAAAAATTGACACACATATGTATCTCAATAAGATCTACAAAAAAGTCAGTGCGGCTGTATCTGTCAAATGTACGGTTAAAGGGTTATTCCGCATTTTTTGCCGATCCGCACACATTGGAATTTCGCTAACTCCTCCGAAGGCTTTCGTTCCACCGGCACCACATTTGCTCAGGCCAATCTACACCCCGTGGCCATTAAAAGTTATCAAAATCATGACGCTGCACCCCAAGGTTTAGGTTCTAGGGGGCGCCAAAGATAACACTAAAATCCACATATTTAAAAGTCTTATAACTTTTTATTTTTGTCCTCACTGGCCTCCAAGTTTTCTAGGATGATGCAATGTCCAGCCATCAACACATTTGTGAAGGAATTTTTACTCCCCAAAAGAGCGCCCCCCCATGGCAGAAGAAAAAAGTCCATTTTTTCTTGTCCCCTAAGGTGAAAATACACATTGTTGAGTGTCACGCCTATACGCTTTGTCAAAATGACACAAAAATTGACACACACATGTAACTCAATAAGATCTACGAAAAAGTCAATGCGCGCGTATCTGTCAAATGTACGGTTAAAGGGTTATTCCGCATTTTTTGCCGATCCGCACACATTGGAATGTGGCTAACTCCTCCTAAGGCTTTTGTTCCACCGGCACCACATTTGCTCAGGCCAATCTACACCCCGTGGCCATTAAAAGTTATCAAAATCATGACGCTGCACCCCAAGGTTTAGGTTCTAGGGGGCGCCAAAGATAACACTAAAATCCACATATTTAAAAGTCTTATAACTTTTTATTTTTGTCCTCACTGGCCTCCAAGTTTTCTAGGATGATGCAATGTCCAGCCATCAACACATTTGTGAAGGAATTTTTACTCCCCAAAAGAGCGCCCCCCCATGGCAGAAGAAAAAAGTCCATTTTTTCTTGTCCCCTAAGGTGAAAATTCACACTATTGACTGTCAGGCCTGTACGCTTTGTCATATTGACACAAAAATTGACACACACATGTATCTCAATAAGATCTACGAAAAAGTCAATGCCGCGTATCTGTCAAATGTACGGTTAAAGGGTTATTTCGCATTTTTTGCCGATGCGCACACATTGGAATTTCGCTAACTCCTCCTAAGGCTTTCGTTCCACCGGCACCACATTTGCTCAGGCCAATCTACACCCCATGGCCATTGAAAGTTATTCAAATCATGATGCTGCACCCCACGGTTTAGGTTCTAGGGGGCGCCAAATATAACCCTAAATCCACATATTTAAAAGTCTTATAACTTTTTATTTTTGTCCTCACTGGCCTCCAAGTTCTCTAGGATGATGCAATGTCCAGCCATCAACACATTTGTGAAGGAATTTTTACTCCCCAAAAGAGCGCCCCCCCCATGGCAGGAGAAAAAAGTCAATTTTTTCTTGTCCCCTAAGGTGAAAATACACATTGTTGAGTGTCACGCCTGTACGCTTTGTCATATTGACACAAAATTTGACAATCACGTGTGTCTCAATAACATCTACGAAAAAGTCAATGCACGCGTATCTGTCAAATGTACGGTTAAAGGGCTATTTTGCATTTTTTGCCGATTCGCACACATTGGAATGTGGCTAACTCCTCCTAAGGCTTTCATCCCACTGACACCAAATTTGCTCAGGCCAATCTACACCCATGGCCATTAAAAGTTGTAAAAATCATGACGGTGCACCCCACGGTTTACGTTCTAGGGGGCGCCAAAGATGACCCAAATATCCACATTCTTAAAAGAATCCACATCTCCCCCCCCATCCCCCATCCCCCATGGCAGGAGAAACAGTCAAGTTTTTCCTGCCCATCACTCAATGGCTCAATCGCATCGCTCTCCCGGCAACACCGTAACGAGGAGCAACTTGCCGTTTGGATATATCCTAGCTGTGTTTGTGCCCTCACTCATGGTCCAGACTTTTTTCAAATAGGATATGTAGTTTGTCTGCAGCGAGTGTTTTGGTAGAAACTGCGCCTCCCATTCATTATAATGGGAAATGACCACAGACAAGTGCGCACACCATCTTTGGACCTTGAGTGTGACGCGATCGGGAGGGGGAGGCGGTCGCGCTGGGGGCGGCGCGACGCGGCTCGGGCCCGACAGTGCCCCACCGGGGCCCTAGTCTTTGTTTCTTTTTAGGGCCCGAGCGTAGCTGCTAAGCAGCTGCGAGAGCCCTCTTGTTCCTGTAGTTTCCTTCTTTTGTTATTATTATTATTATTTTTCCTCCCCTTTGAACTGGAAAATGGCCCACCTCCCACTGGCGAAAACTCATGAAATTTGGCAGGACGACCGGGCCTGGTGAAAAATTTGATATTCCGAAGTCGCCCAAACAAGAAAATGCAAAATGGCTCCATAGCGCCCCCTAAGGTGAAAATTCACACTATTCACTGTCACGCCGGTACGCTTTGTCAAAATGACACAAAAATTGACACACACATGTATCTCAATAAGATCTACAAAAAAGTCAGTGCGGGCGTATCTGTCAAATGTACGGTTAAAGGGTTATTTCGCATTTTTTGCCGATCCGCACACATTGGAATTTCGCTAACTCCTCCGAAGGCTTTCGTTCCACCGGCACCACATTTGCTCAGGCCAATCTACACCCCATGGCCATTAAAAGTTATTCAAATCATGACGCTGCACCCCACGGTTTAGGTTCTAGGGGGCGCCAAAGATAACCCTAAGATCCACATATTTAAAAGTCTTATAACTTTTTATTTTTGCCCTCACTGGCCTCCAAGTTTTCTAGGATGATGCAATGTCCAGCCATCAACACATTTGTGAAGGAATTTTTACTCCCCAAAAGAGCGCCCCCCCATGGCAGGAGAAAAAAGTCCATTTTTTCTTGTCCCCTAAGGTGAAAATACACATTGTTGAGTGTAACACCTGTACGCTTTGGCAAAATGACACAAAAATTGACACACACATGTATCTCAATAAGATCTACGAAAAAGACAGTGCGCGCGTATCTGTCAAATGTACGGTTAAAGGGTTATTCCGCACTTTTTGCCGATCCGCACACATTGGAATTTCGCTAACTCCTCCGAAGGCTTTCGTTCCACCGGCACCACATTTGCTCAGGCCAATCTACACCCCATGGCCATTAAAATTTATTCAAATCATGACGCTGCACCCCACGGTTTAGGTTCTAGGGGGAGCCAAAGATAACCGTAAAATCCACATATTTAAAAGTCTTATAACTTTTTATTTTTGTCCCCACTGGCCTCCAAGTTTTCTAGGATGATGCAATGTCCAGCCATCAACACATTTGTGAAGGAATTTTTACTCGGCAAAAGAGCGCCCCCCATGGCAGGAGAAAAAAGTCAATTTTTTCTTGTCCACTAAGGTGAAAATACACATTGTTGAGTGCTACGCCTGTATGTTTTGTCGTATTGACACAAAATTTTACATACACGTGTATTTACATAAGATCTTCGAAAAAGTCAATGGCCACGTATCTGTAAAATGTACGGTTAAAGGGTTATTTCGCATTTTTTGCCGATCCGCACACATTGGAATTTCGCTAACTCCTCCGAAGGCTTTCGTTCCACCGGCACCACATTTGCTCAGGCCAATCTACACCCCATGGCCATTAAAAGTTATTCAAATCATGACGCTGCACCCCACGGTTTAGGTTCTAGGGGGCGCCAAAGATAACCCTAAGATCCACATATTTAAAAGTCTTATAACTTTTTATTTTTGCCCTCACTGGCCTCCAAGTTTTCTAGGATGATGCAATGTCCAGCCATCAACACATTTGTGAAGGAATTTTTACTCCCCAAAAGAGCGCCCCCCATGGCAGGAGAAAAAAGTCCATTTTTTCTTGTCCCCTAAGGTGAAAATACACATTGTTGAGTGTAACACCTGTACGCTTTGGCAAAATGACACAAAAATTGACACACACATGTATCTCAATAAGATCTACGAAAAAGACAGTGCGCGCGTATCTGTCAAATGTACGGTTAAAGGGTTATTCCGCACTTTTTGCCGATCCGCACACATTGGAATTTCGCTAACTCCTCCGAAGGCTTTCGTTCCACCGGCACCACATTTGCTCAGGCCAATCTACACCCCATGGCCATTAAAAGTTATTCAAATCATGACGCTGCACCCCACGGTTTAGGTTCTAGGGGGAGCCAAAGATAACCGTAAAATCCACATATTTAAAAGTCTTATAACTTTTTATTTTTGTCCCCACTGGCCTCCAAGTTTTCTAGGATGATGCAATGTCCAGCCATCAACACATTTGTGAAGGAATTTTTACTCGGCAAAAGAGCGCCCCCCATGGCAGGAGAAAAAAGTCCATTTTTTCTTGTCCACTAAGGTGAAAATACACATTGTTGAGTGCTACGCCTGTATGTTTTGTCGTATTGACACAAAATTTTACATACACGTGTATTTACATAAGATCTTCGAAAAAGTCAATGGCCACGTATCTGTAAAATGTACGGTTAAAGGGTTATTTCGCATTTTTTGCAGATTCGCACACATTGGAATTTCGCTAATTCCTCCGAAGGCTTTCGTTCCACCGGCACCACATTTGCTCAGGCCAATCTACACCCCATGGCCATTAAAAGTTATTCAAATCATGACGCTGCACCCCACGGTTTAGGTTCTAGGGGGCGCCAAAGATAACCCTAAAATCCACATATTTAAAAGTCTTATAACTTTTTATTTTTGTCCTCACTGGCCTCCATGTTTTCTAGGATGATGCAATGTCCAGCCATCAACACATTTGTGAAGGAGTTTTTTCTCTTTAAAAGAGCGCCCCCCCATGGCAGGAGAATAAAGTCAAGTTTTTCCTGTTCATCATTCAATGGCTCAAACGCACTGCTCTCTCGGCAAAAGCGAAAGGAGGAGCAACTTGCCATTTGGATATATCTTAGCTGTGTTTGTGCCCTCACTCATGGTCCAGACTTTTTTCAAATAGGACATGGAGTTTTTCTGCAGCGAGCGTTTTGGTAGAAACTGCGCCTCCCGTTCATTATAATGGTAAATGACCACAAACAAGTGCGCACACCATCTTTGGACCTCTAGTGTGACGCGATCGGGTGGGGGAGGCGGTCGCGCTG